GAACACTCGCGGGCTGACGAGGGCGGAACGGCGCTGCCGATGAGCAATCACAGGCTGACGAGGGCGGGACGGCGCTGCCGGTGACCAATAAGTGGATGGCGAGGGCGGGAAGGCACGGCCGACGACCATTCACAGGCTGGCGGGGGCGGGACGGTGCTGCTGATGACCAATGAGAGGCACAAGAGGCAGGACGGCGCTGTCGGTCACCAATGAGAGGCGCATGAGGGCGGGATGGCGCTGCCGATGAACAATCGCAGGCTGCCGAGGGCCGGACGGCGCTGCCAGTGACCAATCACAGGCTGGCGGGGGCGGGAGGCCGCTGCCGATGACCAATCGCAAGCTGCTGAGGGCGGGACTGCGCTGCAGATGAGCAATTACAGGCTGACTGGGGCAGGACGGCTCTGCCGATGACCAATCACAGGTTGACGTTGGCGGGACGGCGCTGCAGATGTCCAATGAGAGGCTGGCGGCGGCGGGACGGTGCTGCTGATGACCAATCACAGGCTATCGGGGGCGGGACGGCAGTGCTGATGACCAATGAGTGGCACATGAGGGCAGGACGGCGCTGTCCGTCACCAATGAGAGGCACATGAGGGCGGGATGGCACTGCCGACGACCAATAAAAGGCTAGCGGGGTTGGACGGAGGTGCTGATGACCAATGAGAGGCTGATGAGGGCGGGACGCCACTGCCGATGACCAATGAGAGGCTAGCGGGGGCGGGATGGCGCTGCCGATGACAAATCACAGGCTGACGAGGGCGGGACAGCGCTGCCGGTGAACAATGAGTGGCTGGCAAGGGCGGGAAGGCGCTGCCAGTGACAAATAAGTGGCTTGTGAGGGCGGGACGGCGCTGCCAATGACAAATCACAGGCTGACGATGGCGGGACGCCACTGACGATGGCCACTCGCGTGCTGACGTGGGCGGGAAGACGCTGCCGTTGACCAATGAGTCGCTGGCGAGGGCGGGAATGCGCTGCCGATGACCAATGAGAGGCTAGCGGGGGCGGGACGGTGCTGCTGATGACCAATGAGTGGCACATGTGGGCAGGACGACGCTGTCGGTCACCAATGAGAGGCACATGAGGGCGGGATGGCACTGCCGATGACCAAACACAGGCTAGCGATGCGGGATGGCGGTGCTGATGACCAATGAGAGGCTGATGAAGGCGGAGCGGCGCTGCCGATGACCAATCACAGGCTAATGAGGGCGGGATGGCGATGCCGATCACCAATCACAGCCTGACGAGGGCGGGACGGCGCTGCCGGTGACCAATGAGAGGCTGGCGATGGTGGGAAGGTGCTGCCGTGACCAATGAATGGCTGGCGAGGGCGGGAAGGCGCTGCCGATGACCAATGAGAGGCTTGCGAGGGCGGGATGGTGCTGCTGATGACCAGTGAGTGGCACATGAGGCAGGACAGCGCTGTCGGTCACCAATGAGAGGCAGATGAGGGCGGGATGGCACTACCGACGACCAATCACAGGCTAGCGGGAGCGGAACGGCGGTGCTGATTGCCAATGAGAGGCTGATGAGGGTGGGACGGCGCTGCCGATGACCAATCACAGGCTGAAGGTTGCGAGACGGTGCTGCCGATGAAAAATCCAAGGCTGACGTGGGCGGGACGGTGCTGCCGATGACCAATCACAGGCTGACGAGGGCGCGATGGCGCTTCCGGTGACCAATGAGTTGCTGGTGAGGGCGGGAAGGCGCTGTCGGTGACCAATGAGAGGCTGGCAGGGGCGGGACGGCGCTACCGGTGAATAATGAGAGGCTGGCGGGGGCGGGACGCCGCTGCCGATTACATATCGCAGGCCGACAAGAGCGGGACGGCGCTGCCAATTAACAATCGCAAGCTGACGAGGGCGGGACGCCGCTGCCGATGGCAAATCACAGGCTGAAGAGTTTGGGACGCCTCTGCAGATGACCACTCGCGGGCTGACGAGGGAGGGACGGCTCTGCCGGAGACCAATGAGTGGATGGCGATGGCGGGAAGGCGCTGCCAGTGACCAATGAGAGGCTTGCGAGGGCGGGACAATGCTGCTGATGACCAATGAGTGGCACATGAGGCAGGACGGCACTGTCGGTCACCAATGAGAGGCACATGAGGGCGGGATGGCACTGCTGACAACCAATCACAGGCTAGCGGGGGCAGGACGGCGGTGGTGATGACCAATGAGAGGCTGATGAGGGCGGGACGGCGCTGCCGATGACCAATCGCAGGCCGCCGAGGGCGGGACGGCGCTGCCGATGACCAATCGCAGGCCACGAAGGGAGGGATGCCGATGACAAATCACAGGCTGACGAGGGTGGGATGGCACTGCCGGTGACCAATTAGTGGCTGGTGAGGGCGGGAAGGCGCTGCCGTTGACCAATGAGTTTCTGGTGAGGGCGGGACAGCGCTGCCGATGACCAATCACAGGCTAGCGGGTGCGGGACGGCGGTGCTGATGACCAATGAGAGGCTGATGAGTGCGGGACGGCGCTGCAGATGACAAAACACAGGATGACCAGGGCGGGACGGAGCTGCCGATGACCAATCACAGGCTGACGTGGGCGGGACGCCGCTGCCGATGACCAATCGCAGGCTGATGGGTCGGGACGGCGCTGCCGATGACCAATCACAGGCTGATGAGAGCGGGACGGCGCTGCCGGTGACCATGAAAGGCTGGCGATGGTGGAAAGGCGCTGCCGGTGACAAATGAGAGGCTGGCGATGCTGGGAAGGCACTACTGGTGACCAATGAGTGGCTGGTGAGAGCGGGAAGACGCTGCCGATGACAAATGAGAGGCTTGCGAAGGCGGGACGGTTCTGCTGATGACCAATGAGTGGCACATGAGGAAGGACGGCGCTGTTATTCACCAATGCGAGGCACATGATGGCGGGATGGCACTGCCGATGAGCAATCACAGGCTAGCAGGGGCGGGACGCCGCTGCCGATGACCAATCGCAAGCTGCCGAGGGCGGGACGGCGCTGCAGATGAGCAATTACAGGCTGACTGGGGCAGGACGGCTCTGCCGATGACCAATCACAGGCTGACGTTGGCGGGACGGCGCTGCCGATGACCAATGAGAGGCTGGCGGCGGCGGGACGGTGCTGCTGATGACCAATCACAGGCTATCGGGGGCGGGACGGCAGTGCTGATGACCAATGAGTGGCACATGAGGGCAGGACGGCACTGTCCGTCACCAATGAGAGGCTGATGAGGGCGGGACGCCACTGCCGATGACCAATGAGAGGCTACCGGGGGCGGGACAATGCTGCTGATGACCAATGGGTGGCACATGATGCAGGACGGCGCTGTCGGTCACCGATGAGAGGCACACGAGGGCGGGATGGCACTGCCGATGACCAATCACAGGCTAGCGGGGGCGGGATGGCGCTGCCGATGACAAATCACAGCCTGACGTGGGCGGGACGCCGCTGCCAATGACCAACCGCAGGCTGACGAGGGCGGGATGGCACTGCCGTTGAACAATGAGTTTCCGGTGAGGGCGGGACGGCGCTGCCGATGACCAATCGCAGGCTGACGAAGGCGGGACGGCGCTGCCAGTGACCAATGAGAGACTGGCGGGGACGGGACGGTGCTGCTGATGACCAATGAGTGGCACATGTGGGCCGGATGGCGCTGTCGGTTACCAATGAGAGGCACATTAGAGCAGGATGGCACTGCCGAAGACCAATAACAGGCTAGCGGGGTGGGACGGCGCTGCTGATGATCAATGAGAGGCTGATGAGGGCGGGATGGCGCTGCAGATGACAAATCACAGGATGACCAGGGCGGGACGGCGCTGCCGATGACCAATCACAGGCTGAAGTGTGCGGGACGCCGCTGCCGATGACCATTGAAAGGCTGGCGATGGTGGAAAGGCGCTGCTGGTGACCAATGAGAGGCTGGCGATGCTGGGAAGGCGCTGCCGGTGACCAATGAGTGGCTGGTGAGAGCGGGAAGACGCTGCCGATGACAAATGAGAGGCTTGCGAGGGCGGGACGGTTCTGCTGATGACCAATGAGTGGCACATGAGGAAGGACGGCGCTGTTGTTCACCAATGAGAGGCACATTATGGCAGGATGGCACTGCCGATGAGCAATCACAGGCTAGCGGGGGCGGGAAGCCGCTGCCGGTGACCAATCGCAGGCTGCCGATTGCGGGACGGCGCTGCTGATGACCAATGAGTGGCACATGAGGCAGGACAGAGCTGTCGGTCACCAATGAGAGGCACATGAGGGCGGGATGGCACTGCCGACGACCAATAAAAGGCTAGCGGGGGAGGGACGGCGCTGCCGGTGACCAATGAGAGGCTGGCGATGGCGGGAAGGCGCTGCTGGTGACCAATGAGAGGCTGGCGATGCTGGGAAGGCGCTGCCGGTGACCAATGAGTGGCTGGTGAGAGCAGGAAGGCACTGCTGATGACCAATGAGAGGCTTGCGAGGGCGGGACAATGCTGCTGATGACCAATGAGTGGCACATGAGGCAGGACGGCGCAGTCAGTCACCGATGAGAGGCACATGAGGGCAGGATGGCACTGCTGATGACCAATGAGAGGCTAGCGGGGGCGGGATGGCGTTGCCGATGACAAATCACAGGCGGACGTGGGCGGGACGGCGCTGCCGATTACCAATCGCAGGCTGCTGACGGCGGTATGGCACTGCCGATGAGCAATTACAGGCTGACTAGGACGGGACGGCGCTGCCGATGACCAATCACAGGCTGGCGAGGGCGGGATGGCACTGCCGGTGACCAATGAGTGGCTGGTGAGGGCGGGAAGGCGCTGCCGTTGACCAATGAGTTTCTGGTGAGGGCGGGACGGCACTGCCGATGAACAATCACAGGCTGGCGAGGGCGGGATGGCACTGCCGGTGACCAATGAGTGGCTGGTGAGGGCGGGAAGGCGCTGCCGTTGACCAATGAGTTTCTGGTGAGGGCGGGACGGCACTGCCGATGACCAATCACAGGCTAGCGAGGGCGGGACATCGGCGCTGATGACCAATGAGAGGCTGAGGAGGTCGGGACGGCGCTGCCGGTGACCAATCACAGGCTGACGAGGGCGGGACGGCGCTGCCGGTGAGCAATGAGTGGTTGGCGAGGGCGGGAATGTGATGCCGATGACCAATGAGAGGCTGGCAGGGTCGGGACGGTGCTGCTGATGACCAATGAGTGTCACATGAGGGCAGGACTGCACTGTCGGTCACCAATGACAGGCACATGAGGGTGGGATGGCACTGCCGACGACAAATCACAGGCTAGCGGGGGCAGTACGGCGCTGCAGGTGACCAATGAGTGGCAGGTGATGGCGGGAAGGCGCTGCCGGTGACCAATGAGTGGCTGGTGAGAGCAGGAAGGAGCTGCCGATGACCAATGAGAGGCTTGCGAGGGCGGGACTATGCTGCTGATGACCAATGGGTGGCACATGATGCAGGACGGCGCTGTCGGTCACCGATGAGAGGCACACGAGGGCGGGATGGCACTGCCGATTACCAATCACAGGCTAGCGGGGGCGGGATGGCGCTGCCGATGACAAATCACAGCCTGACGTGGGCGGGACGCAGCTGCCAATGACCAATCGCAGGCCGCCGAGGTCGGGACGCGCTGCCGATGACAAATCACAGGCTGACGTGGGCGGGGCGCCGCTGCCGATGACCAACCGCAGGCTGACGAGGGCGGGATGGCACTGCCGTTGAACAATGAGTTTCCGGTGAGGGCGGGACGGCGCTGCCGATGACCAATCGCAGGCTGACGAAGGCGGGACGGCGCTGCCAGTGACCAATGAGAGGCTGGCGGGGACGGGACGGTGCTGCTGATGACCAATGAGTGGCACATGTGGGCCGGATGGTGCTGTCGGTTACCAATGAGAGGCACATTAGAGCAGGATGGCACTGCCGACGACCAATCACAGGCTAGCGGGGGCGGGATGGCACAGCCGATGACAAATCACAGCCAGGCGTGGGAGGGACGCTGCTGTCGATGACCAATCGTAGGCTGCCGAGGGAGGTACGGCGCTGCAAATGAGCAATTACAGGCTGACTAGGGCTGGACGGAGCTGCCGATGACCAATGAGAGGCTGGCGGCGGCGAGACAATGCTGCTGATGACCAATGAGTGGCACATGAGGAAGGACGGCGCTGTTGGTCACCAATGAGAGGCACATGAGGGCGGGATGGCACTGCTGAAGACCAATCACAGGCTAGCGGGGGCAGGACGGCGGTGCTGATGACCAATGAGAGGCTGATGAGGGCGGGACAGCGCTGTCGATGACCAATCAGAGGCTGACGAGGGCGGGACGGCGATGCGGGTGACCAATGAAAGGCTGGCGATGGTGGAAAGGCGCTGCCGGTGAACAATGAGAGGCTGGCGATTGTGGGAAGGCGCTGCAAGTGACCAATGAGTGGTTGGTGAGAGCGGGAAGGCGCTGCCGATGACCAATGAGAGGTTTGCGAGGGCGGGACGGTGCTGCTGATGACCAATGAGTGGCACATGAGGAAGGACGGCGCTGTCGGTCACCAATGAGAGGCACATGAGGGCGGGATGGCACTGCCGATGACCAATAACAGGCTAGCGGGGTGGGACGGCGCTGCTGATGATCAATGAGAGGCTGATGAGGGCGGGATTGCGCTGCAGATGACCAATCACAGGATGACCAGGGCGGGACGGCGCTGCCGATGACCAATCCCAGGCTGACGTGGGCGGGACGCCGCTGCCGATGACCAATCACAGGCTGAAGTGTGCGGGACGCCGCTGCCGATGACCAATCACAGGCTGACGAGGGCGGGACGGCGCTGCCGGTGACCATTGAAAGGCTGGTGATGGAGAAAAGGCGCTGCTGGTGACAAATGATTGGCTGGTGAGAGCGGGAAGACGCTGCCGATGACAAATGAGAGGCTTGCGAGGGCGGGACGGTTCTGCTGATGACCAATGAGTGGCACATGAGGAAGGACGGCGCTGTTGTTCACCAATGAGAGGCACATGATGGCGGGATGGCGCTGCCGATGAGCAATCACAGGCTAGCGGGGGCGGGACGCCGCTGCCGGTGACCAATCGCAGGCTGGCGAGGGCGGGATGGCACTGCCGGTGACCAATGAGTTTCTGGTGAGGGCGGGACGGCACTGCTAATGACCAATCACAGGCTAGCGAGGGTGGGACATCGGCGCTGATGACCAATGAGAGGCTGATGAGGTCGGGATGGCGCTGCCGGAGACCAATCACAGGCTGACGAGGGCGGGACGGCGCTTCCGATAAACAATCACAGGCTGACGAGGTAGAGACGGCGCTGCCGATGACCAATCACAGGCTGAAGAGGACGGGACGGCGCTGCCGATGACCATTCACAGGCTGACGAGGGCGGGACGGCGCTGCCGGTGACCAATGAGTGGCTGGCGGGGGCGGGACGCTGCTGCTGATTACTAATGAGTGGCACATGAGGGCAGGACGGCGCTGTCCGTCACCAATGAGAGGCACATGAGGGCGGGATGGCACTGCCGACGACCAATAAAAGGCTAGCGGGGTGGGACGAAGGTGCTGATGACCAATGAGAGGCTGATGAGGGCGGGACGGCGCTGCCGATGACCAATCACAGGCTGATGAGGGCGGGAAGGCACTGCTGATGACCAATGAGTGGCACATGTGGGCAGGATGGCGCTGTCGGCCAACAATGAGAGGCAGATGAGGGCAGGATGGCACTGCCGAAGACCAATTACAGGATAGCCAGGGCGGGAGGGCGGTGCTGATGACCAATCAGTGGCTGGCGAGGGCGTGACAACGCTGCAGGTGTCCAATCACAGGCTGACGAGGGCGGGATGGACCTGCCGATGACCAATCACAGGCTGACGTGGGCGGGGCGCCGCTGCCGATGACCAATCGCAGGCTGACGAGGGCGGTATGGCGCTGCCGGTGACCAATGAGTATCTGGTGTGGGCGGGAAGGCGCTGCCGGTGACAAATGAGTTTTTGTTGAGGGCGGGATGGCGGTTCCGATGACCAATCACAGGCTGACGAAGGCAGTACGGCTCTGCTGAAGACCAATCGCAGGCTGACGTGGGCGGGACGGCACTGCCGTTGACCAGTGAGTTGCTGGAGAGGGCGGGATGTTGCTGCCGGTGACCAATCACAGGCTGGCGGTGGCGGGACGCCGCTGCTGATTATCCATCGCAAGCCGACAAGGGCGGGACGGCGCTGCCGATGACCAATAAGAGGCTGACAAGGGTGGGACGGCGCTGCCGATGACCAATCACAGGCTGGCGAGGGCGGGACAGCGCTGCCGATGACAAATCAAAGGCTGACGTGGGCGGGACGGTGCTGCTGATGACCAATCACAGGCTATCGGAGGCGGGACGGCGGTGCTGATGACCAATGAGTGGCACATGAGGCCAGGACATCGCTGTCGGTCACCAATGAGAGGCACATGAGGACGGGATGGCACTGCCGACGACCAATCACAGGCTAGCAAGGTGGGACGGCGGTGCTGGTGACCAATGAGAGGCTGATGAGGGCGGGACGGCGCTTCCGGTGACCAATGAGTATCTGGCGAATGTGGGAAGGCGCTGCCGATGACAAATCACAGGCTGACGAGGGCGAGACAGCGCTGCCGGTGAACAATGAGTGGCTGGCAAGGGCGGGAAGGCGCTGCCGGTGACAAATAAGTGGCTTGTGAGGGCGGGACGGCGCTGCCAATGACAAATCACAGGCTGACGATGGCGGGACGCCACTGACGATGGCCACTCGCGTGCTGACGTGGGCGGGAAGACGCTGCCGTTGACCAATGAGTCGCTGGCGAGGGCAGGAATGCGCTGCCGATGACCAATGAGAGGATAGCGGGGGCGGGATGGTGCTGCTGATGACCAATGAGTGGCACATGTGGGCAGGACGACGCTGTCGGTCACCAATGAGAGGCACATGAGGGCGGGATGGCACTGCCGATGACCAAACACAGGCTAGCGATGCGGGATGGCGGTGCTGATGACCAATGAGAGGCTGATGAAGGCGGGGCGGTGCTGCCGATGACCAATCACAGGCTGACGAGGGCGGGAAGGCGCTGCCGGTGACCAATGAATGGCTGGCGAGGGCGGGATGGTGCTGCTGATGACCAGTGAGTGGCACATGAGGCAGGACAGCGCTGTCGGTCACCAATGAGAGGCACATGAGGGCGGGATGGCACTACCGACGACCAATTACAGGCTAGCGGGAGCGGAGCGGCGGTGCTGATGACCAATGAGAGGCTGATGAGGGCGGGACGGCGCTGCCGATGACCAATCACAGGCTGAAGCGGGCGGGACGGCGCTGCCGATGACAAAACACTGGCTGACGAGGGCGGGATGGCGCTTCCGGTGACAAATGAGTGGCAGGTGAGGGCGGGAAGGCGCTGCCGGTGACCACTCACATGCTGACAAGGGCGGGACAGCGCTGCCGGTGACCAATGCGTGGCTTGTGAGGGCGGGACGGCGCTGCCAATGACAAATCACAGGCTGACGATGGCGGGACGCCACTGACGATGGCCACTCGCGTGCTGACGTGGGCGGGAAGACGCTGCCGTTGACCAATGAGTCGCTGGCGAGGGCGGGAATGCGCTGCCGATGACCAATGAGAGGCTAGCGGGGGCGGGACGGTGCTGCTGATGACCAATGAGTGGCACATGTGGGCAGGACGACGCTGTCGGTCACCAATGAGAGGCACATGAGGGCGGGATGGCACTGCCGATGACCAAACACAGGCTAGCGATGCGGGATGGTGGTGCTGATGACCAATGAGAGGCTGATGAGGCGGGACGTCTCTGCCAATGACCAATCACAGGCTAACGAGGGCGGGATGGCGATGCCAATCACCAATCACAGCCTGACGAGGGCGGGACGCCGCTGCTGATGACCAATCGCAGGCTAACGAAGGCAGGATAACGCTGCCGATGCGCAATCGCAGGCTGACGAGGGCGGGATGGCGCTTCCAACGAACAATAACAGGCTAGCGGGGGCGGGACGGCGGTTCTGACGACCAATGAGAGGCTGATGAGGCGGGACAGCGCTGCTGATGACCAATCACCCGGTGACGAGGGTGGGACGGCACTGCCGATGACCAATCGCAGGCTGACGAATGCGGAACGGAGCTGCCGATGAGCAATCATAGGTTGATGAGGGTGGGATGGCACTGCCGACGACCAATCACAGGCTAGGTAGGGCGGGACAGCGGTGCTGATGAAAAATGAGAGGCTGTTGAGGACCGGACGGCGCTGCAGATGTCCAATTACACGCTGACGTGGGCGGGACAGCGCTGCCGCTGTCCAATCGCAAACCTTACGAGGGCGGGACGGCGCTGCCGATGAGCAATTACAAGCGGAAGTGTGCGGGACGCCGCTACCGATGACCAATCGCAGGCTGATGTGGGCGGGACGGAGCTGCTCATGACCAATCACAGGCTGACGAGTGCGGGACGGCGCTACCGATGACCAATCGCAGGCTGACAACGGCGGGATGGCGCTGCCGATGACCAATCACAGGCTGAAGAGGGCGGGACGGTGGTGCCGATGTGCAATCACAGGTTGACGAGGGCGGGACGGCGCTGCCGGTGACCAATAAGTTGCTGGTGATGGCGGGATGGCGCTGCCGGTGACCAATGATAGGCTGTCGGGGGCAGGACGGTGCTGCTCATGACCAAAGAGTGGCACATGACGGCAGGACGGCGCTGTCGGTCTCCAATGATAGGCACTGGAGGGCGGGATGGCACTGCCGACGACCAATCACAAACTAGCGGAGGCGGGACAGCGCTGCCGATGACCAATCAACGACTGACGAGGGCGGGAAGGCGCGGCCGATGACCAATCGCAGGCTGATGCGGGCAGGACGGCGCTTCCGGTGATCAATGAGTGGCTGGCGATGGCGGGAAGGCGCTACCGATGACCAATGAGAGGCTGATAAGGGCAGGACGGCGCTGTCAGTCACCCATGAGAGGCACATGAGGGCGGGATGGCACTGCCGACGACCAATCACAGGCTAGCGGGGGCGGGATGGCAGAGCTGATGACCAATGAGAGGCTGATGAGGGCCGGACGGCGCTGCTGATGTCCAATCAGTGGCTGACGAGGGCGGGACGCCGCTGCCGATGACCAATCACAGGCTGACGTGGGCGGAATGGCGCTGCCGGTGACCAATGAGTATCTGGTGAGGGCGGGAAGGCGCTGCCGGTGACAAATGAGTTTCTGGTGAGGGCGGGATGGCGCTGCCGATGACCAATCACAGGCTGACAAGGGCAGGACGGCCCTACCTTTGACCAATCGCAGGCTGACGAGGGCGGGATGGCATTGCCCATGACCAATCACAGGCTGACGAGGGCGGGACGGCGCTGCTGATGACCAATGAGTTTCTGGTGAGGGCGGGACGGCGCTGCCGATGACCAATGAGAGGCAGGCGGGGACGGGACGGTGCTGCTGATGACCAATGAGAGGCACATGAGAGCGGGATGGCACTGCCGACGACCAATCACAGGCTAGCGATGGCGGGACGGCGGTACTGATGACCAATGAGAGGCGGATGAGGAGGGACAGCGCTGCCGATGACCAATGAGTGGCTGACGAGGGCCGGACTGCGCTGCAGATGACAAATCACAGGATGACGAGGGCGGGACGCCGCTACCGATGACCAATCGCAGGCTGACGAGGGCAGGATGGCGCTGCAGGCGACCATTGAGTTTCTGGTGAGGGCGGGACGCCGCTGCCGATGACCAATGACAGGCTGGCGGGGGCGGGACGGCTCTGCCGATTACCGATCGCAAGCCGACAAGGGCGGGACGGCGCTGACGATGAACAATCACAGGCTGACAAGGGTGGAACGGCGCTGCCGATGACCAATAAGAGGCTGACGAGGGCGAGACGGTGCTGCAGATTACAAATCAAAGGCTGACGTGGGCGGGACGGTGCTTCCGATGACCAATCACAGGCTGGCGAGGGCGGGACAGCGCTGCCGATGACAAATCAAAGGCTGACGAGGGCGGGACGGTGCTGCCGGTGACCAATCACAGGCTATCGGGGGCGGGACGGCGGTGCTGATGACCAATGAGTGGCACATGATGGCAGGACATCGCTGTCGGTCACCAAAGAGAGGCACATGAGGACTGGATGGCACTGCTGACGACCAATCACCTGCTAGCGGGGTGAGAAGGCGGTGCTGATGACCAATGAGAGTGTGGCGAGTATGGGGCAGTGTTGCCAATGACTGCCAATGACAGACTGGTGAGGGCGGGACGGCGCTGCCCCTTACCAATGATAGGCTGCCCGATATTGGATGGCGTTGCCGTTGATCAATGAGCGGCTCAGAAGGGTGGGATTGCGCTGCCTATTTCCAATGATAGACTGGTGTGGGCGGGACGGAGCATCCGCTGAGCAATGATAGGATGCTGGTGGCGGGTTGGTACTGCCATTGAGCAATGAGATGTTGGCGGGGGCGGGACGGAGCAGCCGATGACCAATGAGAGACTCGCAGGGAGGAGACAGCGCTGTCGATGACCAATAGTATGCAGTCTGAGGAGGGACAGTGCTGATGATGAAAGCGGCTGCATAGCCATCACAGGTCCGGGTTGTGCTCTGTTTTTCTCATATCTGCTTATCCTAGCCCCTGGAAAAAGAGCAGCTGAAAACAACCATGTGCTCAGAGGTGTGTTTGTGTCAAAGGACGTAGTCGTAAATACTTGCAGCTCCTTGAATCGAAACAGGCAAACAAAAACCACAGTATGCAGTTACAGTGAACTCGGAAACCTTCGCTGCCACAATTTTACCAAGCTTCACCTGCGTGCAAATGGTCATAATGATGGTGACGGTTTTCTTCTTGTCACTTTTGGGCTTGCACATTCTCAGCATCTAGCAACAGGTTGACACATTCTAACGTAAGCCCAGAAGTCTGCAATGCTCAGCTATAAATTATGCCTGTGGGGTTGTAGAACAGTCCAGGCTCCTGCTCTACTGTCATCTACTCACTGCTGATTTCACTGGAGAAGAGCATATTTGGTGCAGAAAAGGGAGGAATGCTTTATTTTACTGGAGAACAGATTTAAGCGTTGAAATGGAAAAATAAGTTGACCTTAAGAGGTTTGGAGCCCACACAATCTCTAAATTCTTAGAGTGCATGTTGATGACAGATTTGTTCGCAGCCAGACACGCCAAGGGTCTCATCAAGTGCCCTGGAAAACAAGTGAGGCGAATGTCCACCATGCCGTGTTGCGACAATCAAAGCAAATCCTCAATTCATGCTAGTTGTTATTACTGCTACTGATGCTGAAAATGAACTGGATCCTACTTGACAAACAGCCACACTACAGCACCAAACCCCCAGAACAGCAGTCACAGCCGTCAGCTGCACCAAGTGTGCCCTCGTGTGCTCCGGTGCTGACCCCTTAAATTACCCCCCTGCAGTGTTTCAGCTCACACAGGCATCGTGTTGATCGCATGAGACAAAGACTGAAATCGCACCATTGCCCTCGGAAGTGCAGCAGGGCTGAGCTCAGCAGGCTGAGGGCAGCACTGACCTGTAGTGAGGAGCGGGCAGATGCTGGATGGCGTCCTGCATTCTGACCAGCCGCTCCTCCTCTGTAGAGGCACCAATAGTATCCTGGGAAAGTGTAGAAAGGGATTTAGACACAAATCAGAAGAGATTCCAGGCGCAGAGTAGGGAACCATGGGCACAGCGCGCTGCTGGTCAGCATCGAGGCACATTTCATACCTTCCAAGTGTCCTCTAGGGACCACAACCGCACGCAGCTATTGCCACCGAGACCGTGGACTACAAACAGCGGGCAGCTTTACAGCCAAGTTGGGCAGCTCAGCTCCTCGCAGAGGGCATTCATCTCGGCTACTAAACTCATTAACGTTGCACTTGGACAATAGCAAAAAAAAATGAAGGAATTCTCGCAAGCATCGAGAAAATAAAAATAAACACATCCTGGGCCAACATAAGTGGCATCGTTAAAATGCAGGAAATGGCAAAAACACGAGAGAAAACAGCAAACAGATCTCCCGTTCATTAAAATCTAATATAAAGCATAAATGGCACTACTTCATTCTCCCGTTCGAACAATCGCGCTTATCCTCGAATGCCACTTGCTGCCTACAGCACCTGTCTCCAGATAAGACTCGAAGGAAACCGTCCTGAAGTGCGGACGTAGTAACCCCGTCGAGAGGATCTGGCAGGTAGAATTGGCACGTTCTTGCCATCGGAATAGCTCTAATTCGAACCTCCGCTCGAAAGCGGCGAGAACCGCTGCGGAGCGCTTGCACTCGCGTCCGAGCAATCGCGCTTCTCCCCGAATGCCGATTGCAGCCTGCAGAAGCTGTATCCTTCTTTCTCGGTCTTCGGGATTGGGCGATGGCCTCGGGCTGCTTTTCTACAAATGGTGGCCTCTTCTGTGCACGTAGGAAAAGATCTGATTGAAATCCGATTTGTCTAAAAATAAGCAGAATGTTCGACGCCTGACATGAAGGTTGCGCCCATGCCTGTCTGTCCAGCCAAAATTCGTGGTAGTTGCCTTCTCCGTGGCTAAACGTCTGCATTAGGTGACGACAGCAGTGGAAGTATAAGCCTCTCAGAAGAGGACCCTGGAAATGCGAGCAGCGGCAGATGCTGTGCTATGTCGGAGCGCATTCGAAAAAAGACTCGAGGGAATCCTTCCTGAAGTGCGGACGTACTAACCCCGTCGAGAGGATCTGGCAGGCAGAATTGGCACGTTCTTGCCATCGGAATAGCTCTACTTCGCACCTCCGTTCGAAAGCGGCGAGAACCGCTTCGGAGCGCTTGCACTCGCGTCCGAGCAATCGCGCTTCTCCCCGAATGCCTCTTGCAGCCTCCAGCAGCAAACTCCCTTTTCCTCGGTCGCCGGGAAAGAGAGACTGCCGCCGGCTGCTTTTCTCCGAGTAGCGGGCTCTTCTTTGCACGTAGGAAAGGAGCGGATTGGAATTCGATTCGTTGAAAAACAAGCAGAATGCTCGGCACCTGGCATGAACTTTTTCTCCATGACTTTCGATCGAGAGACATTTCTTAGTGGGGAGTTTATCCCTGGCTTCCAGTCTGCAATCTGAGACGATTAGAGTCGAAGGTATAACCATCTGTAAAGAGGGAAGGGGCATGACGAGGAGCGACAAATGCTGTGCTGTTTGGGTGCGCATTCGAAATATTCGAGAGCGAAGTAATCTGCTCTGAGGAGAAAAAAAAAACAAGTTCTCGGCCGGTCCGCAGAAGGCAAACAGAATTCGCATGATCTCGTCGTCGAAATGGCACTTCTTCTCCCTCGCCGTTCGAAAGCGGCATTCGCGGATAATCGCTCCGAAGCGTTTGCACTCGCGTCCGAGCAATCGCGCTTCTCCCCGAATGCCGATTGCAGCCTGCAGAAGCGGTATCCTTCTTTCTCGGTCTTCGGGATTGGGCGATGGCCTCGGGCTGCTTTTCTACAAATGGTGGCCTCTTCTGTGCACGTAGGAAAAGATCTGATTGAAATCCGATTTGTCTAAAAATAAGCAGAATGTTCGACGCCT